TTTCACCTCAAGCCCTAATCTATCAAAAGGCATTAATAAATCATGCTCTTTTCCAATCCTTCTTTAAATGATAACAGTCGTTCAGAGATATTCAAATTTCTAAATTACTTTTCCAGCCCCTAAACCTTGTTATTGTTTTCATTTCGATGTCCCGCCCTCCACCGTTTCACCAATCAGAAAGTCTGTGATCCGGGCGCCAGAACTCACTGCGTCACTGGTAAAGTACCATGTGGCACAGAACTAAAAAAGGTCTCGTTATGATTCTCAAATCATTAACGACAAAACAAGGAATAAAACCAGGATTTCTATCTTTGTGAAAAAGGTGTTGGTTATAGATTTGTTGTTGACAAAACTCTTGTCTATTCAGCTGTTATGGTCCCAGCTGGATTCGTCTGCATATCTGGCAACCTGAGTCAGGGACAGTGGGAGAGGCTGCAGTACCACTTTTGGACACATTCTTACATACTGCTCTTTTAACATTTAAAAAGGACTGAAAATAAAAATGTGAATACATAAAAACTAATCAGGGTCAAAATGAAACACAATAATACAGGAATAAAACAAGCCAAATGAACCAAACATGGGATGCTCAATGAACTAAGTGGAAACGTGTGGAAAAGCATAAGATTTAAATACACAGGGAGAAGTCAAACTCCAAAAAGGCAAGACAACAGAGAAGTTAACAAAATATTAGCCTGGTCGTACCACACCATAGTACAGATTACATTTCGTACCAAGGTCTGGAGGTGCTTCAGCGAGCTCCGTGAACAGGTGGGAGGGGTTAACTCTTTTTGCAGATTGAAACGATTGGATCTGAGTTTACCGTGACATGACGTATGTAGTGCGCCCGAGTCTGTCGTTAGCATTTAGCATTTAGCCTAAGAAAGTAATCTTTATTTATATACCGCCTTTCACAGACCAGAGTCACAAAGCGGTTTACAATTGCGGCAAAGCCATCTCCTTTGCCGCTAACGGAGCCCGTGGGGAGCAGCGCCACAATTGTTTCCAGCGATTACATTTGCTAAACATTCCTCTTGCTCCAGCTTCAATTTCTTGATAGAACCAGACCGGATTACTTTACTATCGCATTTTTCATCATTGCCAAAGTACAACCTTCCCGTTCGACGCAGACTCTTGATGATGTGACCCACAAATAAATACAACCCTCTCCTTCCTCTGATTGGTCGGTCAAAATTCAACCGATTGTATTCGCTAACACAGGGACCAGACCCAGACGTTACATGCAGTGAAATCATGATTGAGCAGAGTGTACGGATGGATAAGGCCCGGCTAACAAAATACTGCAGAATTCAATATAACAGTAGTCCAGGACAAAGAAGACTGGGCCCCTCTGTGTGGAGTTTGCATGTTCTCCCTGTCTTTGCTCCGGTTTCCTCTGGGTGCTCCTGTTTCCCTACCACTAAAAACATCAACATAGATCCTGAGTGACTGAATGTTTGTTTATGAGTGACTGTAAATACAACAAATGGAAAAAATTAACCCATGGTACAATCTGCTGTATTTGCACACACTGTTCATTAATACACACTGTTTGAGCAAATAAACACACAAGCTAAATCATTATTAAACTGTTTTGGAAAGACCTCAAAAGACTTCTGATCAGGCTTAGAAGAAACGTTTCTGTCATCATCAATATAAAATAAAGAAAACATGTTTATTTGACAATTAATAGTGTATCACAACCACTAACTATCATTTATAACCACCAAAATATGTGTTTCTGTCTGGGCGTGTGAACACAGCTGTAAATCCATCGCCATGATACTGTATCCCTGTTGGAAAAGCTTCGTCATTCTTTATGTCCATATAAATCCTGTCTGTAGTTATTAGGCGCTAATAGTTGCAGTGTGATTTGTGGCCTGTGCAGTAGCGGCTCCAGGAGAGCGAGTGAGGAGAGGAGTGCAGCGCTGTGTGGTCCGCGGAGGAGTGTGGATTCCTCCTGGGGAACACGCTGACCCTCTCCACTGACCCTCTCCACTGACCCTCTCCACTGACCCTCTCCACTGACCTGTACGTGTCAGCTTCATGTACTGCTGCTGCCAGAGGACTGACCACTCTTATTGTTGCACAGATGTAACCGTGTAACGTGTAGTAGGAGTGGACTGAGCCAGCTCTGATGTCACCGTGGGGTTAGCCTTAAAGCGGAGGAGGAGGGCTGGACGTAAGCAAGCTGGAGCCAGTTTCCTTGTATGGGCATTTCTTCCGCTGTGTTACAGGGGCAGACGTGTTGGTAAGACGGTTGCTAAGGCCAGTGGGAGTTTCCCCTGTGAATGACAGCATCTGATTGGTTAATCATTATATCACAGAGAACTTAAACCACACATATGAGTAGTGAGTGTGACACAAGCAGAGCAGTTACTGAGCTAGAGGAGTTGGAGCAAATCTTTGTCCATGAGCACTTCACTATTGGGCTCTAATGAGCTAGCTGGTTTGCATTGTCCATCTATATACAGTCTATGATTGTAACATTTTCCCATGGGCGGAGACAGATCCATGGGATTTTCAATATATAGTAAGTCAAGATATATTGAGGTGTGATAATAATCATTTGCAAAGCTTTGTTGTGATAGATGTGAGAAAAACCTGCAAAACAATGTTGTTTTGTTTTACGGTTCAGTGAACTTGGAAGTATTGGTCCAACCACTGACCATTGGCGGGGAAACTCCAGCTTTCCGGCGCGATGCTGACGCTGATCAAACACAAATGCTCATATATAGAAAAAAGGCTTCTTCTTCATTTGGTAAAGACTTTGTCAGCTCTCGGTCGGTCCACTCCTAATACAGTGCCTTGCGAAAGTATTCGGCCCCCTTGAACCTTTCAACATTTCGCCACATTTCAGGCTTCAAACATAAAGATATAAAAAATGTTGTTATGAATCAACAACAAGTGGGACACAATAGTGAAGTGGAACGAAATTTATTCGATAATTTATACTTTTTTAACAAATAAAAAACTGAAAAGTGGGGCGTGCAATATTATTCGGCCCCTTTACATTCAGTGCAGCAATCTCACTCCAGAAGTTCAGTGAGGATCTTTGAATGATCCAATGTTGTCCTAAATGACAACATTGGATCCCCATGAGAGGCCCATGATCGCTCTGTATGAACTGCAGATAACTACAGCTGTCCATAGGACAACAATCAGTCGTGCACTGCACAAATCTGGCATTTATGGAAGCGTGGCCATTTCTCAAAGATATCCATAAAAAGTCTCTTAAAGTTTGCCACAAGCCACCTGGGAGACACACCAAACATGTGGAAGAAGGTGCTCTGGTCAGATGAAACCAAAATCAAACTTTTTGGCCACAATGCAAAACGATATGTTTGGCATAAAAGTAACACAGCTCATCACCCTGAACACACCATCCCCACCTCAGCTGTAGTTATCTGCAGTTCATCCAGAGTGACCATGGGCCTCTTGACTGCATCTCTGATCAGTCTTCTCCTTGTTTGAGATGAAAGTTTGGAGGGACGGCCGGGTCTTGGTAGATTTGCAGTGGTCTGATACTCCTTCCATTTCAATATAATTGCTTGCACCGTGCTCCTTGATATGTTTAAAGCTTGGGAAATCTTTTTGTATCCAAATCCGGCTTTAAACTTCTCCACAACAGTATCTCGGACCTGCCTGGTGTGTTCCTTTGTCTTCATGGTTCTCTCTGTGCTTTAAACAGAACCCTGAGACTATCAAAGAGCAGGTGCATTTATACGGAGACTTGATTACACACAGATGCATTCTATTTATCATCATCAGTCATTTAGGACAACATTGGATCATTCAAAGATCCTCACTGAACTTCTGGACTGAGTTTGCTGCACTGAAAGTAAAGGGGCCGAATAATATTGCACGCCCCACTTTTCAGTTTTTTATTTGTTAAAAAAGTTTAAATTATCCAACAAATTTCATTCCACTTCACGATTGTGTCCCACTTGTTGATGATCCATGACAAAAAATTTAAATTTTATATCTTTATGTTTGAAGCCTGAAATATGGCGAAATGTTGAAAGGTTCAAGGGGGCCAAATACTTTCGCAAGGCACTGTATATAATCTATGGCTACTACTTAAAGTAATATAAAAATTGTCAGTAAATTGAAGCCAGAACGCTGTGTATAAAGTGTTATGGAGTCAGCCCATGTAGCAGGTGTGCAACTCTGACATGGAAAGTGTTAATATAGTGATCTAATCTTTCATGATCCAAACAGTAAACAACAAATCCATTAATCAATGAAAAAATAATACAATCGTTGATCAGTAAAACAGTTGCTACCGATAATTACACTGCAAACAGTTTCTAAGATCATAATTTAGGAGGAAGCAGAAAGCTCAGTCCCCCGTGAGTTGAAAGACATGTTTATAAAAGCAGAGGGTCGAACAGGGCGCTGAGATCCAGGCCGTTGTGTCACAGTCTCTCACATCCACTGTGGAAGCAGGTTTATGAGCACAGTTCCTCTGCTGCTTGAGTTTGAGTGAAAATAAAACTTTTTGCTAATTAAGACCTGTTGGGGGATCCATAAACAGATATTCAGAACGTTAACGACTTCAGTGTGAAACCTAATTGTTTTTTACCGTACCAGTTGTTTTAAACAGTAATTCATATATTCTTTGATCCATCAGAGTAGGTGGTATGATTGTGGGTTTATAAAGACAGAGATGAAACAGCAGGATTTGAAACATTGACTGTATTTCATTTTGTTTATAACGTAATTAATCCACTAGAGTCAAACTACCCCCAAGCACGTAGATTACACCAACACGTCATTCGTAAAAAAACACATTGGAGAGTCGGTCTTGCAGCAAATTGGATCAGGAATGAGTTACTTGAGCCACACGGCGTATTGATTTTTGCCATCATAAAGAAGAACATTATCGTTATTTTGAGTTTTCTGCTGTGATATTTTAACTCCCAAAACAGGGTTCAAACACCATGAATGTCCAAACAAGATGATTTAGCTGCATTTCTCTCTCTCTCAAAGGCGAAACGTCAGCCGCCTGCGATGACATACGACGCACTCCCACCGCGCTCTGAAGGCGACGACACATTCTGCAACCTTCGTGGATATTCATGATGCACTGGGGGGCTGTAGAAGACTGTTGGGATGGTTGCCCCGGTGACCTCTTGTGTCTCTGTGAGGAGATGGGCCAATGGGCTGTCACGTCTGCCTCCAAGAGCACGCCACAGGACAGGATTAATGGACTTCGAATAGTTACTCACATAACCTTAATCCCCAGGGGTCACACAGGAAGGAAGGACCCCCAGAAAGCATCGCACGGTGAAGCAACTATGTTTTTTAAGGGTTTCTTTCTTGACATTTCAGCTTTTGATATCTCCTGTGGGCTTACATGGATGTTGAATAGTATATATGCATTTTCTGTAATTAACAATTATTTTGAATGAATCAATCATTTGGCCGATTATTCTTTCGATTGCCCCTGGAGAAAAATGCTGACATAGACGATTACAATTTACTTTGGTACATTGGTATAAATAATTACATAGATTTAATAATCACAATATTACTACAAATGCTGAGATCAATACAGATATTATTATTATTTTTTTATTTTTTTTGTGTTAACATTATTATTATTGTTATTTTATCAACATTTATGGATACCCCGCTCCCTATCGACCAATGGCCTGAGTTTGAACTGTTTGATTCTCTGATCTGTTGTCGGTGAATACACTTCATGACGACTGGTTGTGCAAAAATAAATGTAATTGAATCGACTGGTTTCTGTGAATATGGTTATTGGCCAAATACAGGTGGAACTTGGAAAATGAAAATATGATTCAAAACATTTATTTCTGTAATTCTACTTATTTTTTTGAAACTAGTATGTGATTTAGTGTGATTTAGACTCAAAGGAGCATTTCAAAGTGATTTTGTTTGTGTTGATTATGGCCGACAGTCCTCTTTCAAAATATTCAAATTTAATTAAATGTTTTATTTAGATTTTTTTCAAGCTGTGGGTCCATTACCAACAATATTACAAATACAGGCTTGATAAATCTCACTTCATGTGTCATCGGTCTGGCATGTATTAGCTTCACATTTGAAGTTGAAATACAGAAGTAAATGGACTTGTGAACCCGTAAGTGCGAAACGTCAGCCTTAACCTTGTTTTTCACATTTTTGCAAACTCATAATGGAAAGATCAGAAAAAACGTTGTTGCAAGAACTCTTTTGTTTGGATCATAATTTCATGATTATGTCTCTTTTAAATTATGTGTCTTTTCAACCAGTAGATGATGACGTTATCTGTTCAGTTCAGTTCAAGTTTCAGTTCAGTTCAGTTTCAGTTCAGTTCAGTTCAGTTCAGTTCAGTTCAGTTCAGTTCAGTTCAGTTCAGTTCTGTTCAGTTTCAGTTCAGTTCAGTTCAGTTCAGTTCAGTTCAGTTTCAGTTCAGTTCAGTTCAGTTCAGTTCAGTTCAGTTTCAGTTCAGTTCAGTTCAGTTCAGTTCAGTTCAGTTCAGTTCTGTTTGTTTATTTGAGCACAGAGCAAGACATACAGTTTATACAACAACAAAAAACAGACATTTATGTTTGTTCAAATGCTATACACAACTCAGAAGGAGAATGTTAAAGTACATAAGTAAATACTCATAATCGCCCTATCCAGTCATAGAATAATTACATTACATGGTTACTGTAAACCACGATAATGCATCGGTTTTGTAGAGTGCTTTTCAGGACACTCAAAGACGCTTCACACGGCATACTCGGCATACACAGGGGTGATAAACGACAACTGTAGCCACAGCTGCCCTGGGGCACACTGACAGAAGTCACCACCAACCAATCACGCACACACCAGACTCATTCTAGGCAATGTGGGTGAAGTGTCTAGCCCAAGGACACAACAGTTTGGCACTTTACAGCTGCAGCCGATGGAGCATGTAGCACCTGGCGTTCCCAGAGGTCTCCCATCACTGTACTAATCAGGCCCTGCCCTGCACAGCTTCAGAGGTCTGACAGGAATGGAAAAGAAACCTCTCCTCTGACCCTGACCAGAAATCTCCATCCCCCAGTTCTCAACAGCGTGTGTTGACAGTTTGGAGTCTTTTGTGGTGGTTGTGGGTGAGATTCTTCATCCTCTGAAGCTGCCCATTCTTCTCAGCAAAGAACTGTGATGATCCAGGAAACTCTAACATTCATGGACATTGGTCAACTCCTTATGGACCAATACTCTAGATTATTTTTGTTAAGTCCGTTGAGATAACTCCTGTTGTGTTTCAGGGCTATACAAGAATAAATTGAATTGAGAATGCATTGAACAAAGCCTCAAGCTCATGTAAATTCCTGGGCTACCTTTCATCTTCGGAGGACATCCCAGTACACTGTGTCACACTGAACACACACGTCATGACCTGCAAGACCAGAGCTCCCAGCGACATCTGAGGAACAAAGACTTTTCCGACGTTCACTTCCACACAAACAGACTCGAGCAATCTGTTGTGCATAAGTATGAGCGTTTCATTGTGATGGTTGATGGTGTTGATGATCAAAGTAGTAACTAGTTTTGATTGGAGGGAAATGCAACAAATGGCTTCGCAAAAGCTAGCATTTCTGTGAATCAACAATAAATATGAGGTTGTGTGACGTGTATGACTGTGTGTGCGGTTTTGATTTTGCAGTTCTAGCTCAAAAGCTTGAGTATATTAGTCGTGTACATCAGCCAGTTTCATTTCTCTTTGTTGAAAGTGTCTGAAAGCAGCAGTGGACCGGTACCTTTTGGCTCTAACCAGTGCCTGCTGTTTGATCATGACGTATGCAGGAAGCAGAGCAATAACATATTTTATCTTAACTATTTTTTTCTGGGTCTTTTCAAACTCAGAATGTATGGCCTGGTCTACATCCAGCTTCACAGCTTTGTTTCCTGCTTTGTTGAACTAGAAAAAGGCTGCTGATTGGCTGATTGTACTTCCTGGTTCTCAAAGTTGTCTGTGTTGCTGCGATGCGTGACCTAGAGCTGGAGTGAAATGAAACTGAGCGGAGGCACGAGGTGGCTCCAGTCTGGATATTAGTAAGACAAGGCAAGGCATGTTTGTTTGTCTTGCACATTTCATACACAAGGCAACTCAAGTGATTCGATCGTTGTTTTGTACAGTGGTTCTTTGTTGATGTATCTGCACATCAGAGAGTGCAGGACCATGATAATTGTTTCCCATGCTGTACAGACGGAGAGACGTGCTGGTGATGACCCCTAAGCCCTAACGTGACATAGTGCACCTTTAACACGATTCGGAGCTGTTTGTTGACTCTGGAGGGGCCACTAAAGGGCCTTCCATGAAAAGTCTTAACAGATGAAAGGGAATTTGACACCGTTGACATAGACTAACAAATGTTACATTTCCATGCCTGTTGGTTAAGCCATGTCTTGGGCCCCTTGGCAATAGCTTGGCTTTCCTCACCCTAAAAGCATTTACAAGGAAAGCAGGTATTCTGAAATATGCTGAAATAGGCCAAATAGTAGAAGTCCATAGTTAAACCCGGGGGTTGATTGTGTAGATAAACTTAACCTAATCAAGTATGCACAACTGATCTCACAAACGGGGGCTAAAGAAGCAGTTGTAGAATGTCATAGATCTATTCTAATACCAGGGCAGGTTAGTAGCTTCAGTCTGTCTCCACTGCACAAAGGCCACCCACTGTCCTTCCTTTTCTATAGGGGTTTTCACTTTGACCAAAACTAACTTTGAACATATGCAACAATGAGCCCAGGCACTTGACTTGAAAGGACAGACAATGGATTTTATTTTCCTGTCTTGAAATTAATTATTTTGGTTCAATGCAAACAGGTTAAATAAAGTCATTGCAATTACAATCCAACTTCTGTTTCCTGCCTGTGACACATGTCAGTTTTAACAAGTTCTGTTTTCTGAAAATGCAGCCTGCTGCAATTCAGTCTGGTAGGGCGACTGCTGCAGCCCATCCAAGCCGGCCCATTCCCCCTTCAACCTGCGGCAATTAAGCAGCAGTTTAGAAGCAGAAACCTCTCAACAACTAAACCTCTTCCAGCCTCACAGGGAGTTCATTCTGTCATCACTTCCGTGTACTCACACCTCGCAACTACCAGGCACTATAGGCACGGTAGAGATAGACTGCTACTGTAGCCACAGCTGCCCTGGGGTACACTGACAGAAGCGAGGCAAGAGTATGTGACATCAGCGACCATCTCCAATCATTTACACACAAATACACACACATTTTGTGTGTGTGTTTTAAAACATGTTTGGTTTAACTCATATAGCACTTTTCTACTATTCTTGTCTTGTCTTGTTCTTATTCCAATCCCGACAATCATGGCTTGCACAATAGGGCCATGCCCATTCACCAACACATAAAAACATCTAAACTCTAAAGCCCTAAATTCTGTGCCTGAAGTGGACACTGCATCGGTCAGAGCACAACGCCCAAAACGCCGTATATCTCTGCTTTCATTCCATCTGCATTACATAAGCAGGAGAGCTGTGGTATGGCTCGATAAGGCTGTTTACAGAACTGACCGCTGGCCTATGGGAGGACCAGCATGTGACCACTGGCCGCTCTTATTGCTTCAGTGCTGCGTCTGATTTTGAGGAGAGACACACTGTTGTCTTAGTATAAATAGGCTCAACATCCTGGGTAATTATGGCGAGGCGTTTATCGTTGCCAAAAATTAACAAATGCCCAAAAAGAATGTGTTAAAATGCAAGGGCAGGGCAAAGTCAGGGCTGAGTCAGGTTTCCCATGAACAATATGTCTGTTATTGTCATGATGAGGGCTTTGTAAACACATGCTCAGGAATGTGCCGACTGCAGAAGTAGACCACAAATATATTAACAGTAAAAGTAACACACATTTAGTCAACATTGGCTATAGCTTTTGTTACTAACAAAACCCTCACAGCTTTGGGCCGTGTTATTGAAGTAGAAGTAAAGCTTCCATGTCTAAAAACTGGGAATTATTAACATAGCAAGAACGTGAACTTGAAGAGCACATGCCTCGCCAACATTCCTACCATCACATCTTGCCCACACCAAATTTCAGCTCAAATCATCCAGTAGTTTTTATACAATCCTGCCAAAAGACCAATAATATAATCCATTCATGCTTCAGACAAACATGCAGACACACACACACAGGTGATTACACTACCCCTCCGGTTGGCGAGATGTTAAAAAACTTGCCACCTAAAGACACGCTGACTTTGCAGAAATAGACTTAAAGTTGACTAATTAATACATAATTCTATCTCTAGTAATAATAACTAATAAACACTATATTACAATATTGTTCAAAAGTTCATTTATTTCTGTATTTCAAATTAAAATGTGAAACCATTAAAGTGACATATGCCAAGCCTTTGTTTGTTATAATGATGATTATGGCTAATTCTAATTTTGTGTTTTGAGGGTTTTACAAGCAGTGAGCCAATTATCAACACCATAACAAATACAGGTTTGTATGTGTCTCATGACTCATATATAGTGATTAGTAATATGTTAATTTCACATTTTAAGTTTTGAACCATATTGTAAGTTTTTGCCTGTACACATTTTAAAGCAATTCTAAATTTAGGCACATACACCGTTTTGTTTCCTCTCAGTCTTGAATGTTGGTCCCATCTGGAACCTAAGCAAAACGTTCAAAGGGAGATTGCCATAAACAACAGTTGTTTATGGGAGAAACTGAAGGGATAAAACTATGAATGTTAGCGATAACAAGAGAACTCACAGCTCCTGAAATCTCAATGGGACTGGTTGCGTAACGAGAGAAGCCATTTCCTCGGCTTAATTTTATCCCATGAGCCGCGAGGGCGAGATTGTTGATTGTCCCCCTCAGCATAAAGCCCGCCCCTCCCCCGGGTATTATTGACTGGCTGCTGTTGTCGCGTCATTAAGATGGAGACAATCAAGGACCTCACCTCCGTCTCACCCCGCCCCACCCAGCAGCACCCTGTTCCCCCATAAAACCACTACACATGTCATCAAAGTCCCACCCGCTGCCTGAGCCTGACAGCACTTGAAAGACCCCCAAAACCACATCCAGGCGTGATCGCGTACGCTGGTTGGTCTTGGTTGCCAACATCAGCAAAAGTCTTCTGCTGATCAGCACATGTGGAACGAGAGGCTCTTGCTGCGTTTACATGCTCGGCGGGGAAACCGGATAAGTGGCCGAGGAAGATTTCAAATGGTTGTTGAGAATGCATCTTAGCCCGGGCAAGTGGGTTCAAGTTGGATTTAACTTTTGTGCAGTGTTATATGAGGAAAAATATGAAAAATGATGTGAAGTTATGGTCCTGGATTGATTAAAGTACTGCCATGAGGAATGTAAATGGTTTCTCGCTCACCTCTGTATCGATAATAACATACAGTTGAAGCCAAGGACAAAAGTTAGTATTTGACATTCATAATTGCTGCTTACTGGATCATTAAAAAACCCAAACCTAGATTTACTTGATTACAACCTGTATTTGCTTATTTTTTTATTTAAGTGCAAAGATATTCAAGATATTCTAAATCAAATTAAATCCATCTAAATTCAGGTTTTTATTTATGAATGAAATAACAAATAATCTTTTTAACATGTGATATTTATCGTCCCTTGTTTTACAAACGCTCACAGATGTGTTTATACATTTAACAAAGAAACAAAATTGCTTCGGACCCCCTGAATACGAGAACGACACTGATGATAGCAGAGAAAGTCTATTATGGCTCCATACATCTGCGTGCAAACACAGAGCGGTCATACTGATCAGCAGAAGGAGTCATGTGCATGGGTGAGAAACAGCCAGGAAAATATAATGAGATTGGGTGTGTCTTGACCTTTTGTTTTGGATCGATACAGTACGGCGCACTTTTTAAAACTGTGTTAATCCCCGCAGGGCAATGTGTGATTTGCAAGTCAGAACACGCCGCTTTAAGTCTCTGTGTCAAATACTGTACGAGGTTAAATGTACAAAAGCTGATTGTAGTTTGAATACGATGTCACATTTCTACGTGACTAAATTCTTCTGCTTTATCCAATGCCGGGTCACGGGGGCAGCAGTCTGAGCAGAGACGCTGGGACTTCTCTCTCGACACAGACTTCCTCCATCTCATCTGGAGGAATCCCGAGGCGTTCCCAGACCAGCTGAGAGACATAGTCCTTCCAACGTGCCCAGGGAGGTGTCCAGGAGGTATCCCAAACAGAAGCCCAAGCCACCTCAAATGGACCCTCTCGACGTGGAGAAGCAGTGGCTCTACTCTGAGCTCCCCCCGTGACACTGAGCTCCTTTCCTGCTCTTTACCAGAACCCAAACTCATCTCTGCAAACTCATCTCTGTCTCTAGTAAAGTGGCTCTATGCTGTTTGCATGTCATGATGTTTGAACAGCGCGGTAGGTCTCTGTGTTTTGGGAAACACTCTCATATACTCCAATAAATAACTACATAAATAGTGATGAATGAGGATTATCTACAAACAATGTATAATGAACTACAGTATATTTGTGTTTTACTTACTTGCATTGTTAACATGTTTGCATTGAGCTAGTTTTTTTAAATGTACGATAAAAGGTGACTACAATCATCTCAATCCAATGCTATCACAAATATATAAGTGGTTTAATAATGAATGAGAAAATGTACTTCTATGCCGTGCTGAAGTTAGAAACAAAAGCGTGGTCCAACCCTGCTGCAGATGTTTGATAGTAAAAGCCATAACTGAGAGATCACGTCACACTGTGATCATGGACGTGCTGCGTCCTGCTCACACACTACAGTGAGAACCAAACCTCGAGGAAGCACCAACCCAAGGCCCAGCGCATCCATCCTGAGTGTGGCCATTCAGGGTCAGCTTTTTAAGATCTCATTGTTTTTAAACAGTTTTGTTCCGCTCATGTTTAGTATTATACATCTACAGAGACCTGTGTATTGATCCCCAAACTCTTAATGTTTACTATTTACTATTTCAATGGTTGCCTTGAATAAAGGCTCTGGGTAAATGCTCTTGCACAAGTAAATAGTCTACTCTCTCTTGATTTACAAAGACAATATCTTAATAAAAAGTTCAGGATCATAGAGCCTTGGTTTTCCTCTGGGTGCTCCAGTTTCTCCCACTTCCCAAACATTCATGGACATTATTAACATTCATTGACATTGGTCGTTGCACTCCCTATGGCTTCTATGTTTGTTCTTATTGTATTTTCTGTCAAATAGTTTGATTCTCTGACCTGTTGTTGGCAAATGGAGTGTCCCCTGAGACGACTGTTGTGATTTTAGGCTATATCATTTAAAAAATAATATTTAATTGATTTGACAACATTCACAACAGATCTCATCCTCCAGTTTCTGTCCTGACCAAGAGCATCAACATGTGGGCGCTGTATCACGATGACAGAGGCCCGAGTGCATCACAGGATGGGTCAAAATGGATACCGTTCCCTCTGGAGATAATACGTCTACCTTATCTTAATAACAGCAGCCACTGATTTGTATTTATCTATTTCTGCGCGAAAGGAGAAGGCTGAAACAAAAAGCTTATGCGCCCACTCCTCAACTCAAAACAATAACATTTCAATTCTCAACAATGCAAAGAACAAGATCAGCATTAACTGCACAAACTGATTTACATGAATGAAGATCACATGACTGAGACTCCTACGCTGTACACATTTCAACAAATGAGTGTTAGTATCTACAAAAATAACAACAAGCTATCGATGGCTAGTAAGTTTTAATACAGATTTGTTCTCTCTGGCTTTTAACACGGCGTGAGTTATTTTCACATTGGAAAACTGGAAAAAAAAATTATCGTTTACTGGAATTGTATTTTTTTTTTATATTTTACTATTTTACTTAATTTTTTATTGGTATTTTATTGTTTTGATTACATTTTTTGCATATAATGTTTTAATTTTGTTCTTTTTAACATATAAAGCTGGCAAACCTGTTTATCTAAATGTGTTAAATGTGTTAAGTATAAATGAAGTGGATTAGATTGGAGTCATAGGACTCTGTGGAGGAGATGAGGGACAGGAGTTATTCTGTCTATGCCAAATGTGACATGTCCATTTCTGCAGTGTGAGATCAATAAAGTCTATTTTATCTAATCTAATGTTCAAAAGGCTGTTAGACTATCTGGCTCCAGTTCGTTTTTTAATATAAATGTTGTGGAAACATCAGTGAATGATGCAGTTTGACTACCCCCACCCAAAACAATGATATAGTTATTGTAATGTCTGCCTATACATACTTATACGTGCTTTCACCTGTGTCACCATAGCTGGCTGTTGTACACTGGCCAACATGCGTGAAGACGAGGACGGCTGATTAGATAAACCACAACATAACACTGCACAATCACTACTCGCACCCAAACGTGAAGTAACAAGTCCACGGTGACTAAAGCAGAACTTACATCATACACTCGGCAATGTTTAGTATCTGGAAGTCAGTGTCGAAATAGAGAAGTTCCCCCTTTATTAGAAATGATATCAGGAAATTAAAGTACAAAACAGCAATAGAAATGCAATAAAACACTTTATTATACACATAGCAGAAGAATTATAATTAATTCAAAATAATTATAGGCAGTTTACTTTTTTATGGTGAAGTGAAGGTGTATATACAAGCTGTTTGAGTTGGGCGTGCCCTTTCTCTTCAGAACATGTCGCAAAGTGATACGGTACATATTCAGATTGCTTCATAGTTTTGTAGGCTGTGTTGAGTATTTGCCCAAGTCCTCAAGGAAAGAAAGTCATACATCCCAGATACCAAGGAACTCACAGGTGCCTAAACGTTGAAAATGACATAGATAAGTTGTGTCATGTTAATTCCGAGTCGGACACAGTCATGTTTGCGGTTATGGTGCAAATCCAATCCAGTCGGAAACAAATGCTCAAGAAGGGAGTTGGCTTCAGCTAGTTTAATAATAATAATAATGATAATGATAATAATAATTATAATGCACCAGTTTTATGCAGCGCATTTTTGGACACTCAAAGACGCTTTACATGTTATTATTCATTCATTCCATACACGGTGGTGATGAACTACTACTGTAGCCACAGTTGCCCTGGGGCACACTGATAGAAGTGAGGCCATGTGCCATCGTCCCCTCCGACCAGCACCAACCATTCACTCACAAAAACCATCTAGGCAATGTGGGGGAAGTGTCTTGCCAAAGGACACAACAACAGTTTGACACTTTACAGCCGCAGTACATTGTGGCTCATGCTGTTCCCAGAGGTCTCCCATCACAGTACAAACCAGGCCCTGCCCTGCACAGCTTCAGAGGTCTGACAGGATTTTCCTTTTGCATGTAAGTAGTTTATATTCAGATCGGCCTCTGCCACATTCAGCAAACATTATGGTGATGTCAGAACTCGTTCAGTTCACTCCTTATTTACGGTCTGCAACTTTTCTTCTTAGAGGAGTTGTTGATAATTTGCCAAAGTGCAGCAATAAACAAACAGGTCAAGTTAAACAAAGCCTGGACACAGCTTCATATTGATTTTTTTTAACCTTTTTGAACCAGAGATTGACTCCTGTTTTGAGTCCGTCACACAGCCTTTAACAGCCCCATGATTCCTCAGTATTAGAACAAAAATGTGATAACCAAAAGCCTACAAAGCTGAACCTTATGAAACGCTGCCCGCTTCTGTTTGTTTTCATAACAGTCTTGTCTCTGTCCTTGACGCGCTCCACACAGTTCTAGGTTAAAGGTTCAGCCCCAGTAAAGCTGTACATGTGAACAAGGGAGGGGGGGAGACAGCAGAGAGGAGCACGGGGAGGCTACATTTGACCAGCTGAGTTTGCATACTCCTAGTTTGAGGCTAAAAACCTGTAAGATGCTTCTTATGTTCTTAGTCAAGATATCTCACTGAATTGGTGAATGTTGGGCGGCACGGTGGTGAACTCTCGCTTCTCAACAAGATGGTCCTGGGTTCGAATCCCGGTCGGAAAAGTCTTTCTGAGTGGCGATGTTCTCCCCCGTGCCTGCATCGGTTTCCTCCGGCTTTTCCAGTTTCCCCTACCACTAAAAACATGCACACTAGGTCAAATCCTCCAGCTCCAGTAGTCCTGACCAAGCCAAGCATCAACTCTTGGAGATGGGTTCTCGGGTGCTGTACTACGGTGACCACTGCTCCTGACGTAAGCCTTAGCGGCACCCGGATGGGTCAAATGCAGAGGATGAATTGGCCCACGAGTATTGATAAAGTGCACCTTTACCTTTGTAATATGTCAGTAGTGGATTGTGGTCAGAACAAAAGGCTGTGTATATATAAAAGCAACAATGCATTGATCATTCTTCCCACAACAAATAAAAAAATATATTAAAATACAACATCTTATTAAAAGACGTTTGGATTCTAAACTATTTGAATGAGAGACCAAATTATGTCCATGATGACAATGATAGCTCAAACAGCATAACTGACTAATATGTGTGGTTCCTCAAGGGTCTATACTGGGGACTTTTATGTGTACAACTTAAGTGAGCATTTAAAAACATTTACCTTGCATTTATAAACAAAAAAAATAGATAACTTCTAAAGGTACATATTGTTTAAAATCAAGTAAATTCTTATGTAAAAGATCAGACCATTAAAAGTGCATATTACATACAGTCCGTATTTAATATGCACTTTTAATGGTCTTTAAGTCATTACAATCCCACTTTCGTTGGCAGAATCTTCCTGCCTGTGACACATGTAGCTCCTAAGCCCTGATTACTAATGCAATCCACCTACTGGAGTTTAGTTTGGTGCAAACTATGTGTGTTATGTATGACTACTTCTTTGTACCTGCTTTCATTAGACACATGTGTGGCTATTTTTGTTGTCTGTAGATCCTTCCTGTTGATCCATTTGAAAAGAACTGTGATTCATGCATCAGTCATGTAACGGCGAATTCAAAGGTTTTGTTGAGTCCTCCGAGATAACGACTGTTGTGATGTAGGGCTGTACAAGAATATATTCAATTGAATTTAATACATGTTTTTTTCCATTCATGAAAAATATACAGTAAGTGGTTTTTCATTTGTGGACATGAGACAAAACATAATTTAGAAATTATGACATTGTGATTCATATTTTCTGTAATTCTTTCTTTCATTTCAAAACTCTATCCTTTTGTGATATTGGTTCAAATTATGAGGAAAACATATCCGTATTCACAAGGCAAGACCTATGTCAGGATAACTGTCTACTATTTCTACTATAAGTTTTGTAATGTATGGAATCCGCATTAGTAGAGAAATCCATACAAAAAAGCACGTTTATAATCTCTCAACAATGCATCCCACTGTACCCCATGACATTCTTGGTCTGTTGTTGTTCAGAGTGTTCTAATAAGAGCTCCTCGCTGGGTGCACTGGCCTCCTCTCTGCCCTGACCCACTAAAGCCAGTGGCCGTGCGGAGGAGGAGGTAAACCTGATAAATTGAAATTCCTGTCTGGCTTCCACACCAAACATACAGCCTCGCCCTGTTTCCGTGTCCCGCCTGACGTGCATTTACTACTGAGTGAGAGAGAGTGATTATGGGGTGACAAATGTGAAATACAGCTGCCTTCAAACAGCGCGTGTGACATTTGCAGGACGTGGGGAGTTTGTCCTTTCTAAACTTGTTCTGTTGAATTACAAAAGCTGGCACTCCCCTGGACGTGGTCATGGTTCCACGAATACAGCGACTCTTTGCACGGGCTGGATTTTAAGCAAATACAGTTTTTTAAATGTGTAAATTTGGGTTTAAATAATTTGCTATCACGTGTTCCTGGATGTTGTCGGATTTTATTATAATTTGAGATTTTGTAGTATCTTCACAACAAGAAGATCCTGACGCAGGGCCTTTCTGTGAGGAGTTTGCATGTTCTCCCTGTGTCTGCGTAGGTTTCCTTACTACGGGGTCCTTCCCTCTGGGACCAGGTCTACACTGAAAAAGAGAATCTTAAATGTCAGTGGAGCTTTCTAAATAAATGTAAAAAAACAAAAACATGAACATATTTGGGTTTCACATTTTATGTTGAATAACTTTTGATCAATTTTCTAGTTTTCTGAGTTTCACCTGTCTATAAAATCATATCAATATTCAGATATATTTTGCAGATTATACTTAAATATCATCATCATCATCCCTTTATTTCCGTTTCTGGGTCAGGGGGGTGGCAGTCAGAGCTGCCACCCAATACACAATGCACCAGCCCCTCACTGATCCTCCTGCAGGTGGTGGGTCCACAGGAGGATGGCTGTTTCTTCAATGCAGATGCGGCCTTGGTCTTTCAGCAGGGACTTCAGGCAAAGTGGGGTTAAGTGTCTTGCCCAGGGACACAACGGCAGCAGTCATCAGTGGGAACAAGGGTCATGGGGGAATCGAACCCACGACCACAAGGAAGCGTCCTCCTGAAAGTTTGAGACAGACTTCTTCTTTGACAATGAAAGTGTGCACAGTCAATGAATCACTACGCACACTTCCCCTAATAGAGACTTGAGCAAGAACAAAAAGGTTCAAAACATGCTTCAGGAAATGATGCACCCATTCCACACTTGAACATAACTTTATTCATTATTGTGGCTCGAGTGCAGTATTCAGCGTCAGTGCATTAAATGACCAATAATGACCACAAACATAAACAAAGAAATGCCACCATCACAGAACAGCACCTCTTTGATATTTACAATTACAACAACAGAAAAACATGTGTTATTAATACTTTCTAGTCTATAGTTTGAACCACAGCAAAGTACAGACGAGCGTGCGCATGTTAATATCATGACCATGTCCTTGGATTCAGTAAAATGACATTCCGTTCCAGGTCGCTGGCCGCACTAATTGTGACAAACAGAAAATAGCCATTAAGTAGCCGTTAATAATATTACGTGGATGAATCAAAGCAGATGGTGGCGGTTTGCAACATTCGTCCAGAGAATGAGCTAATGCAACAATACTGACAGCTGCTTATGGAGTTGGAGAAGTGGATGGCCATATTTTTGTCAGTTCAGTGTGAGCTTTTGCAAATACAGATTCTGGAATACAGGTGTTTGCCCCATGATGTTTGGTATCACCAGGAGTAACAAAAAAAAGTTAGTTACAGGGGACGTTTTGTGGAACATTTGTCCAGAGAATGAGGAAAAATACTCACAGCGACTTAAGAGTTGAAAGATTAAAAGATTGAAAATGTTATTGTCAGTTTAGTTTTTTGAGTAACCTAAACCGAACTTGGATTATGGGAGTTTTTCTAAGGATATTTGGTATCACCAGGAGTAAAAACGAGGCTTTTCAACATAGCAACCAGGTAGTTAAAGGGGAAGTGTAACCATTAAAAAACATGTTTCAAATCTCTTTTACAATCTTGAGTTTTGTCAGTGTTTCACATTCAAGCATTTTGGCACAAATGGAAAAAATTATGATATGCTGCTATGTCTGCACTTTGTTGCCTTGATGTTTACAGTGATCTATTCTAGAGATGCAGGTGACAATCATCGCAGCAGTTTACGATAGAAGGGCAGGAAAGAAATATTGGTTAGAAATCAATGTTGAGATTCTCTACGTCTTTTTAAAGCTCGGGTACTTAAATGACATCATATATAACAAAAACACAGAAAGAATCTTGTAAACGTAAAATGTTGTGATGAAATCCAACCACAACATTTTGTCTTCAACATGTAAACTTTTGCATAATTGTAAGAATGAACCGTGTGAGTCACTATTGGACGCTTTGGGCTGAGAGATGATTGGCTGAGTGAGGGTGGTCCTCGCTAAAGAATGTTGGAGGCCAAAAGCACATGCTAGATCAGCTGTTTTGAGTTTGATGTATTGTTTGTTTTATTGCGTTTGTTAAAGTTAGGTACCCGAGCTTTAGGTGAACTCTTGAATTACAATAAGGACTTACATCGTTTGTCGAGGGCTGACACTAGACGGCTATTGACAGGAAACGAAGCTTAAATACGACGTTCAATTGTGCTGGCTCACTAAGTGTTGCCTAATTTGTGCGTTTGACTCATGTTATAATTTAAAGTGGAGAACACATGGTCATAAAAAACATGGAAAAACAACCTCCAGAAAGGAAACACATAAATCTCCAAGGACCACAAAAATGCAGCTCCGACGGTAAAACGGTAGAACGTTGTCATTTATGGTGTTCCTGACAAAGAGACACCCCGCTGGTTTCAAAGGCTGTGCAAATACAGTCGATTGTTCCATTGTGCGGTTCAAAAGGCTTCTGTGAACGGCCCGTGTAATTTTGCACAGCGGAAAGCGTGTAAAAAAAAAAAGTGGGATCCTAATTGAAGTTATTATATTCAATTCACTAAGCTTACAGATACAGCTGTTGGTCAAATGTTACCGTTAGAATGGCTTATGACCATGACTGTAGCATCTTTGAACTTCCTCTGGCAAAACAACAAAAAGACAAAAAAAAAATAATAATTTACAGACTTGGGAGACTTCTAAAAGTTTGGATTCATTCATATTGCGGGAATGCTGTATTTTTAGATAATTATTTTTGAGAATATTTTTTCAGCCTGTGTACATTGTTTGTATTTCTGTTTTGCAATAAAACTAATTCAAAGCAACTTTGTTCTCCCATGCACTTGTTACAAATTGTTTTGATCCAGTAAAAATATGATGAAAAAGCAAGTTTTGATGTCAACACCAGAAGCCTTTTATTATTCAAAAAACAGGAAGTGTGTGTGCATATGTGCTATATGTGCTTCCTGTGATGGTCAAAAGCTTTCAAAACATGCCTTGTCGTAAACTGAAGTTAACTTGTTTTTGACCTTTAAAAAAAATACATACTTAAAATTGCACCTGTTAGCAAAATGATGTCCCATTACTAACCTGGTGATACCAAACCTATAGATCAATAGTGCCATAACAAACCATGTGTGACAATGGTTGGGCCAAACACTGCACTGATCCTGGAAAGCAGCTTACGGAGGCGTGGCTGTCTGTCAGTGGAGCCAGGGAACCAAAAAACCTGTCACAATCTTCCCCTCGGGCCGCCTGTCATACTGAAGACTCATTGTGGAAAACTTTGGCTTTAAGATTCCTCAGGCTGCACTGCAGGTTGGAGCTGGTTTCTGACTGCAGGGCCTCGGAGAACTTAACATCAGAGCGAGTGACAGTATTTTTTCTTTTAATGGAGTTCTGGATGGTTTCTGAGGTGAAGTAATACACAATCGGGTCGAAGCAGCAGTTTGAAACAGCAATGCAAAGAGCTATGGGGTAGATAGTCCGTACCACCGATTCCACAGAACACCCTCCTAACGTTTTGGTACGGACTAGCGAGTAGAAGATTAAGTTGACGTTGTACGGTATGAAGCAGAAGCAAAAGATCGACAAGTGCACGATTATCATGCGCAGAATTTTGGTCTTGTTAAGCTTCCCGCCGCGGCTCACGGTTTGCGGCCTGCGTAGCGTCTGCAGAACCATGATGGAACAGCAAACATTGAGAAGCAACGGAATGATAAAGCCGACCGTTTCGATGAATATGACCACCTTGGAGAGATGGGATTTCCACTGCTTGGAAGAAAAGTTCTCGAAACAGTTTGTCTTGTTCTCATTTGACGTCGACGTAGTGTCTAGCAAGAAACCCGTAGGAAGACTCCCCGACAGCACCAGCACCCAAACCGCCATGCAAACAATTTTAGCGTTGCGTTTGGTCCGTAAAGTTCTGGAGCGAAATGGGTGCACAATGGCGAGGAATCGATCCACGCTGATGCACGTGAGGAACAGAATGCTTCCGTACATGTTGGTATAAAACAGAGAGACGGAAACTTTGCAAAGCATGCTTCCAAACGGCCAGTGCTGGTTGATGAAATAAAAAACGCGTAGAGGTAGCGTGAAGACGAACAGAAGATCCGACACCACCAAGTTCATCATGTACGTGGTGGTTTCGTTTCGCAACTTGAGCGTGCAAGTGAAAATATACATCGCCACCACGTTTGTAATGAGCCCCACCACGAACACGATACTGAAAACCGTACTGTACAATGGGTACTTGAAGGCGTCATTTTTGGGGCAGGGTGGGATGTTGGAAGAAGAAGAGTTGATGCTGTCTGTAACTTGATGGACTGTGGTTGTGTCCAGGACAGTGGTGTTGAACATCATGTGGAGATTGTTTTGTAGTTCGATAAGATTCAAAAATAGAAAATATCCTGGAAAAGTGAAGAGAAGTCAAAAGTAAAGTCCTTTTCTTGACAGTTGAGGCATTACAGCAAGTCTAGTTGACATGTTTGGAGCGCTCCGTCGCACATGGTTGGAAGGCGCACCTCCCCTCTCTTGTCTTGTAATCTAGGGGCTACCTCATGTTTGAAAAGAGACCCCCCCACTTCTCATTGTGGAGAGGGCACACGGCCGGGCTCGTCCACCCCTCCCCCTTGGCTTTATCTGTATTAAAACCAAATTTCAGTTTCTTCCAACAAAATCCATGTATTTAGCTCTTTACTCACTTGCAGAAATGTTCAAAAAATATTCCTTTCAAAATAACAGGTACATCCAAGTCTTACAAAAGTTGTTTCAATCAAAATCCATGCGTTGTTTTGTCTGGTAAATCCATACACAGAGCCCGAGCAGACGACAAGAGGCTATGTCCTTGCATGAGTGTGACAATGTGAATGTCTCCAGTGTTGTCCACAGCAGACTTGTGTGTTTCCTGTCCCCTCCTCCCTACTTGCTTTTGCTGTTGTCCTCCACACACTGTTTAACTCAAGTCAGAGAGGAGGCTTCTTTTTTGGGGGGGTCCTTGTCTGGTGCGCTTCTTCCTGACAGCCCGGGGCCCGTGCAGAACAGCAGCACAAGCACAAGCCAAGCAGTTTCTCTGAGTTTGCCCTTTGTGCCGGCTTTCTAGCACACACACTTTTGTACTTGGATGGACTGGGGAATGGAGAGCAGCTGTGTGCAAGCCCTGCCCCCTAGTCCTACCCCCAAATCAGACTCCTCCCACGCCTTTGTCTATCTGGGTTACAGTTAGAAAAGGGGGCGAAACTAGTGTGTGAGTGAAGGGGAAGCGCTCCATGAGTGGTTTTAAGTTGTGGCAACAGGTGAAAGGAATGTCAAGTTGCAATCATAGGCATTTTTCCCCATAATTATTCAATTTGCTTCACTAATTTTACAGCAGTATAACTTGAATTCTGTTTTACAAAGTTGTAGTTTTGTGTATAAGTAGGCTACTAATATGATTTCTTTATATGTACATACTGGATTATACAGACAAAATCATACATGAATAGATGCATTATTGTGCATTTAAAAGCTTGGCCCATTTTTTTTTTTTTTTTTTAAATGGACATTGATCACATTCTATTCTAAGTTTTCACCTCTTTTTGTTTATTAGTTTTCAGATTACTCAAACATCAATGAATGAGTCAAAATAATTATGTATTAAAAATAAAAATATACTAGTACTACTACTATATTTTAAGCATCCTACATTTCCAGGATTCTGTCCCTTTTAGGGTGTGGCTACAGTGTGACACTGTAAGGCAAGGCAAGGCAAGTTTATTTATATAGCACAATTCATACACAAGGCAACTCAAAGTGCTGAACAAGATAAGAAAGCATTAAAGTCATAAATAATCACAGAACATTAAAAAGAAATATAAAATTCCTCAGTTGTAGCACAGCTAAACAGAACTGTCTTTAACCTGGTTTTAAACATTGTCAGAGAGGAGGCCTGTCTCACATCTTCAGGAAGACTGTTCCAGATTTTAGCAGCATGAATCTGAAAAGCAGCTTCCCCATGTCCTGACTCTGGGCACTAACTGTGACACTAACCTGCATTGCAAATGTGTGTGAATGTTTTCCCATGATGGTAGAACTAGTATAGAACTAGTTTATCTGCATGTTGCCTCATTAGCAATCCAAAGACTGCCAGACCATTTGATCTCTCTAACTACCTTTTAATACCTGTGGAGTTCCTCAAGGGTCAGCAGTGGGGCCTCTTCTATTCGTTTCACGTGTTATGATAAGCGTGTCCCAAACTGAAACAAACAACACAAAAACAAGTTGCTTCTCAGCAATAGAGGAAGTAACTGGCACGCACCCACACATGGTGACTGTTACTTCTACAAAGTCTGCAGCATAAGGTCAGTTCAAAAGCATTCTGAATCCATTTGAAACGACCACAAAACATGCCTGTGAAAAGTCATGTGTGCAGAGTTCATAGATTAGGAATGTGTGCAAGTGAAAGTCCAAAGAACAATTTCAAATGCATCAGGGTTGAGAAAACAACAACTACTGTAAGTGAAATTACATTTGGTCATCTCCAGTTGAGAAATTATATGTTATTATTTTGTTTCGATATGATACAACTCTTAAGACCAGCGTTGAAATTATTATTTTATTTTATTTTAATTTAGAATAAAAATCATTAAGAATTCCTCCATTACTCTTCTCACTATGTTTATGGACAAGTAGTGTTTGTAAATGTATTGTTTTTATATTAAAGGTGCACTGTGTAACCTCAGTATGATATGATCCAACTATAGTGTGCAGTCTCCAATCTACAGATATGAGCTGTAAAGTGGCCTGGTTTAGTCACTTGCTTGTCAACATTTATGAATTAAAAAAAATATTGTTCACGAAAAAAACCTTTATTAACAAGTTTGAGAATAATTTGTGAAAACGCAGACATTTTATATATGCTAAATTCTGTTGCAATTTGGGGTGCGCATTGAGAGTTACTGTAGAACATATCAGGAAATGTAAACAAAGGAAAAAAGCTGCAAAACACCTTCAACAATGATAGTGGAAGTATTTAAAATATAATAACAATGTACTTTCCATAGGCGAGTTTACATTTTACACTTGTTCTGGAGCTCCATAGAAATGAACCATCTCCTTGTGTGGGCCAAATCCTTACTGTAGACGTTTCTTCTGTAAGGACTTCTGAAAAAGGGACAAAACAGCATTCTCTAGTCAGCCTTTTCCTGCTCTTTAGTCCGGCCAGCCCACAGCTTTCCTCCTCATTCACAGCCTGCACCACTGCATTCAAACTGGCCCTGAGCATTAACTCGGCAAGTCAGTAAAAAACATTGAGGCCTTTGTAGTGAAGTGAAGTAGCTTAGCACGGAGGAATTCGCGGTTTATGAATAATCACTTTTGGACAAGTTAAAAGTGCTCCCGGACAGTTGCATGAGGAAAAATAATATGAGCTGTTTTTCTGGTTTTTTTTAGGTTGTTGTCAAAAAGGAAGTGAAATAGCTGCAGGGCTTTTCTCAGTCTGTTTTGAGGTTAGTATCAACAAACACTGTATGGTCAGGGAGGTAAATACAGGATTTGTAGCGTGGCAAAGATGAAAGGATAACATGTTCAGCTGATGTTAATTTGTCAAAATGTAGAAAAAAACCACTCGATGATCCTTAGTTTGTTAGAAAACCAGGGTTTTTGTGGCCTGGTCGTACCACACCATCGTACAAATGACATTTCGTACTAAGGTCTGGATTTGCTCCTTTGATTCCGTTAACAGGTGGGAGGGGTTAACTCCTTTTGCAGATTGAAACCATTGGATCTGAGTTTACCGTCACGTATGTAATGAGCCCGAGTGAGTCGTTAGCATTTAGCCTAGCTTTAGCCATCTCCTTTGCCACTAACGGAGCCTGTGAGGAGTAGCGCCACAATTTTTTGTAGTGATTACATTTGCTAAACATTCCTCTTGCTCCGGCTTCAGTTTCTTGATAGAACCAGACCAGATTACTTTACTATCGCATTTTTTGCCATTGCCAAACTACGACCTGCCCGTTGAACGCAAACTCTTGACATCACCCACAACTAACTACAACACCTGCCTCCCGTGCTCTCTGATTAGCCGGTCGAAATTCAACCGATTGTAATCGCTAACACAAGGACCAGACCCAGACGTTACATGCAGTGAAATGATGATTGAGCGCAGTGTACGGATGGATAAGGCCAGGCTAGTGTTTTTGTTGCTTCGCAGCAGTATCAGAGACACGATCGGCTCATCAAAAAGGCTCCATCAGATTTCTCACTCTGTCGGGTTCTAACATGCATGTAGTGATCCTTTAGCCTTAGACTGTATACAGATTGGCAATCCTAACCCAGAGCTCAATGAAGCCCTAAAGGGAAGTGCTCATGGACGAAGTATTGCTCCAACTTGCTCTGGATCCTATCGACTTACATTGAAGAGAACTCCCTGGTTCTCTTTTAATAAGGGTTGCTTGACTGATTGACATTAAGTCCTCCATAACAACAACAACAACAACAACAACAAGGATACAGAAGTATAAATCAAGTTTTGGAAAACAAAAATTATTTGTTATTTTCATTTCTTACATCGAATACTAAAACCAAGCATTTCCCAAGCCCTTGAGGGGGACATGGCTGTTCTGTCCCCCTGCTATGTTTATTTGAGTAACCTTACACTAATCCAGAGCAAGTTCATTAGGACTTCACAGACAATGGCAAACATTGAAATAACCCTGTAGAGAGAATCAAAGAGGTTTTATAGTGCGCGCGTTTGTCGGCTCACCGCTGCATAAACACCGAATGTTCAAGAAAATAGTCGGCCCATGTCCCATTGTCTCGTGCCCGCAAAAGGACTACAGATCCAGGGCATAAAAACAAGCTCTTCTCATGCAAGTATGTGGCCACTAAACACAAACATGTGCTCCCAATCCCTGGACTGTTAGATTTCTCACAATGCCAGGAAACCGTCTGGCAGCCCAAGGCCAAGTCTGAAGGCCTGCAAGAGGGACAAACAGCCACTGATAAGAGCAGATATTCAGGCTGTGCCATAGGAGATCAAGATGGGATTTTTTTGTTTGTGGTTTTTTAAGTCTATATTAAAGCTGGGGTACCTCAATCGGTATAAATATATTTTTTCTAAATGGATTCCACAGAAAGAGTCTTGTAGAAGTATCATACTGTGAATAATTCAGGCCACAACATGCTTCAATGAACATCTTATCCTTTGCATACTCAGAAAAAAAGTCTGTGAGTCACTACTACATAGTTTCTTTTTTGTAGTTAGAAAGTTAGGTACCCCAGCTTTAAAGGGCAACCTCGCAATTTCAACTGGATTTTGCATAAAAAAAGAATGACAAAAATGCATACAGAATGCAGTATCCTGATTGGACCATGTAACACTA